AGCCAATGCAACAGCTGTGGGGAAGAGCCCTTTATGACCTCACACAAGGCTCTGTGACCTTCAGCCTGAGCAAAATCCCACCTCAGCTATGGGAAGGACCAGGGCAGTCACTTCCTCTTGGTCAATCTGCAAGTACATAGCAAGAAGGAGGGAGACAACCTTGTATCTCCTGCCCAGACTTTGCAGTGAGCTACTGATGCAATTAAATGCAGAGGGGGGTTCAAGGGCGGTACATTCCAACCGCTGTGTGACTACCTCCATTTCTAATAGAAAAGTGAGTCTCTCTCACATGGTGTCCAAATCCTTATTGGGACTTTCATTTTCATCTTTAATTTCTTTAAGTTATCACATTAAAAACAAGTACTGAAGTTTAAACCCTTTTAAAGCCACTTAAAAGCACAACAAAAGAAAACAAAATCTACAAAACAACTGTTTAAAAAGTGTTCCCCAACAGGTAGCTAGCAGACAAAGTCCTGTCCAAACAGGAAGCTTTTCTGTTGTTGTTGTTGTTTACCAAGGGCCAGCCTCACCTCAGAAGGAAGTTCCACAGTTTAGGATCAACCACCAAGAAAGCCGTTTCTTGTGTCCTCACTTAATCCACCTCTGAGAGTGATGAGAAGGTTCTCGCCAATGATCTCAGGAGCTGGGCAGGATCTCACAGTGAAAGACAGCCCTTCAGACAGGTTGATCGTTGAGATGAGCTATAAAGCCATATAGAGCTTTACAGCTCATAGCCAGCTATTTGATTTATACCCAGAAATGGACCAAGTGAAGACGCCATTACAAGAAGTTTTTATTCTCCATGTAAGCAGCTCCAGGCACCATTCCGGCCACAGCGGTTTGCATCCACTCATGTTTCCCTACATTTCCAAAAGGCATTACAGCCTTCTACAGTAACTGCCTGGTTTCTGTGGCTTCTTGAAATGTTGTGCTGCATCTTTCCCTAGCCAAACTATAGCAAAAATTAGAATGCCTACCAACTCACCAAGAAATAAAGACCATTCAAAGCAGTGTCCTCTGACCACATGCCACTTAAAAAAGCTGAAAGCCAGGAAAGATTGCTCAGCTAGTAACACTTCAGATACATTCATGGCAAGTAAAGCAAGGAACTCTTCTTGCCAAGAAGTTATAACAGTCTCTTGTGACTGGAACACCAATGGACAGTAAATAACAGTCTTTGTAGTCTTGAATTTGTGTTTGCAGTTAGACACCACCTAGGCACCCGGAAGGATAACCTAACCTTCCTTGGAAGCCACTTCAAAAACTGCTATGGGGAAGGAGCTGTTCAACCCCTTCCCTTCTCCCATTACCCTGCACCACTGCAACAAGGGCTCATCTGGGAGCCAGGATCTGGGATTTCTGGGTTGCCAACCCTGGCTGAATGTGGGTAGCAAACCAAAATACTTTTAAAAATCATTTTGAGGGGGGGGGGAGGAACCACCAGGGGACATTGGGAAGAACGGAAGGACTCAGGGGAAAAAAAAGGCTTTGGGCCACATGTAGCCCACAGACCACATTTTGCCCACCTCTGCTTTAGGATATACTGGGGCTAAGGTCCCAAATAGGCTTAACAAAGTGTTGAACGCACCTACAAACTGGTAAGAAGGCCATCCCTGCCCGGAGATTCATAATCTAAACGGTTCAATAGCAAAGGTAAAAAAGGAGAGAAAAGAAAAAAGGAAAGAGAAGAAGAGAAAGAAACGCTGGATACCAATTCTTTAAGTTCCACAGTGTGCAAGGTGTTACATGCAACCTATCAGTTCACACGTGGCAAGCCTTTCCATGTATAAATGTCATAATACATAACATATAAACATCAAGAGAATCAGAAAAGAGTAAGAAGGCAATTCTATTCATTACTGAATGCTCTCCAAAAACACAGTACACAAACTTGTACACAAACTTTCTGATTCATTGTGTCAACTGATTTCTCAAACTACATGCAGTTATTGACAAACTGCAATCAAATCCACTGCAAACAATGTGCAACCCATGAATGTATTGAATGTGATCCTAACCAGTCATGTGTTTCTGAGCACCGGTCCCCATCTCACCTCCCTCTTGAATATGTAGATGGTTCTAACACCGAATTCTACATGCTAAATAATGCAGCACTGTTAACAGGTAATGGCTGACTAGAACAAGATTTGTGGGGGCCTTATACTCTCATGCAGAGCCCCATTCTCCTACTCCGGTCAAACAGACAGGGAAGTCACATTTAACCACAGCCAGGTCTTCAAAAGGGAACCAGATGGGGTACTGATCTCACCTTCTTTAGCCCCAATCTCCTATTTTGATAAGGCAGGTCTCTCTAAGGGATTTCATCTGAAGGTGCCTCGAGTCTTCTTTGAAAAAGTTACTTGTTTGGACTACAACTCCTCAAGTCCTTCAGGCAACACCGCCAATGGCTATGTTTGCTGAAGGATTCTGGGAGCCATAGAAAAGGAACCTTCCCAAGTTTCGAGTCATCCACAGGCTCAGCGTGTTCCACACTCAAGGATTTTGAACTCTGAAACTATGATAAATAGATTCTAAATAAGACAGCATCTGAACATCACTTTTAAAGCATAGCTTCACATTGTGGCTTGTTTGGAAACTATTCACTATAGCTTCCCAGCTCAGATGTAACAGGAAACTATGGCTGATTATTGTTACTGACTCATTTATCCACTCCCAAGAAAAGAAGAGGGAAGTAGAAGCAAATGAGATATTTGCACATACTTAAAGCTCAAGCCATATGGCTTATTAAACAAATATGAACGATTAAGAATGCAAAGTACCCATACCTACAATACATATACAGTGGTGCCTCACTTAGCGATGTTAATCCGTTCCGGAAAAAACATCGTTAAGTGATTTAATCGCTAAGCGATATTAAAAAGCCCATAGGAATGTATTAAAACGCGTTTCATACGTTCCTATGGGCTAAAAACATACCTTAAAGCAAAATTCCTCCATAGCGGAAGCCATTTATGTGCCTCTAAAGCGAGGCAAAACAGTGGCGGCCATTTTGTTTTTGTGGCAGCCATTTTGGAACCGCCAATCAGCTGTTTAAAAAAGTTCGCTTTGTCATGATTGCTTCCCCGCGATCATCGCAAAGCGAATTTTAGCCATAGGGGCCATCGCTAAGCGATCGCTCCAGCGATGGCCAAAAGTCCATCGCAAAGCGATTTCATCGCTCAACGGAGCAATCGCTATGCGAGGCACCACTGTACACACAATATGCCAGAACTGGGTACATCTTGTCATTGCTATCAGGAATAAAGGAAAATATTATCCCAGATTCAAATAACATTTTTTCCAGTTACATGATCTCAGGTCACAAAGCGGTCCACAACACCGGAAAAATGAGTGTGAAACTTCCTGCACTGCCTGTGTCAGTCTTGAAAACATCTTGAGCAACAGGATGTTGCTCTGAAATAATACGAGCAAAATAAGAGCTAACAAAAGTTGTTTCCTGGGCTATAGATCCTAACTGAGCCAGCAAGGCCAGGCACTGAGTGATTATAGGAGCTGTAGTCCAAACACTGCATTTTCTAGATTCTAACCCAAAACTATAGCAGCATTCCCATTAAAAAAAAAAATTGCAAGTTCTACACTGTTTTGTACTTCTGTTTATTTTCACCCACAATTTTTTTTTTGCTAAAAAGCTTATTTTTAAATTGCAAGTAATAATATGAATTCAAAGGACAGTTGTGCTGTCAAGTCACTTGTGACTTATGGTGGCCTTATGGAGTTTTCAAGTGGGTTACTTGCCACCGCCACCTCATGAGTTTCCACGGCTGAGCGGAAATTTGAACTCAGGTCCCCTGAGTCCTAGTCCCTCAGTCTGGATACCCAGGTCTTGGCGGTGGCCAGGAATGCATTTGCATAATTAAAACTAGTGCACCAGCTGTGTTCATTTCTTAAGAGACCTGATCTGCCCACTGGGACACACACCCTAGTTACTTCCTGGATGGATTACTGTAACATGCTCTATATGGGGCTGCCGATGTAAAGTGTTGAGAAACTTCAGCAAGTCCAAAATGCAGCAGCCAGATTGGTGACTGGGGCTGGTTACAGGGATCACATAACCACCACCACCCTGTTACAGCAGCTTCACTGGCTGCTGATCAATTTCTGGGCACAATTCAAAGTGCTGGTGTTAACCTATAGAGCCCTAAATGGCCCTGGGTCCAAGCTATCTCAAAGACCATATCTCCCATTATGAGCTGGCTCAGGTGTTAAGATCATCAGGGAGGCCTTTCTCTTGGTCCCACCACCTTCACAGGGGTGTCTGACAGGGACACACCTGTTGCTGTGCCCAGACTGTAGAACTCACTCCCATTGGAGGCCAAGCTGGCCCCATCTTTGCTGTCCTTCCGCAAGCAGGCAAAGACCTTTTTCTTCAGGCACGCCTTTCCTCAGTAACCAGCTACCTGTTGTGCAATGTTTAGATTGTTATGCATTGCCGCTTTGACTGCATTTTTAGTACTACTTGTGTTTTTCATTTTTGTGTTTTCCATTTCTCAGAGTGGCATTTGCTTTTTCAAGGTGAAAGGCTTTATTTTTATTTTAAACAAGCAAGCAAATATATTAAGCTGACACTTCAAGGGGAAAGTGCAAGATATGAAAAGGCACACAGAGACAGCCACTCTACCCAACCAGAGAGTGCAATTTAAACCAGAGAAAACAAACATAGAGATCAAAAGTCACTATTGCAGACTGTGAATCAGAGAAATAATGACTCAACAAAGCCAAGTCAAAATGACACAGGCTTTTATAGAAGATTACATCACTCCAGCCAGTCCTGTAATTCTGCATTTGGACTAAAAAGCTCTGTCAGCCCATTTAAAGATATATATAATCATGTTTGGGCAGAGATGTGGCACTCAAAACCCTTGTTATATTAGAACATTCTGTCTGGCATTCCAGACAGGAATGCCATTTCCACTGCCTGCCTAACCAGAAGAAGAAAGCACTGGAAATGAGACCAATATGTTATATTGGGAATGTTTTACCTGTGTTGCCTGCTGTGGATGCTGGTGAAACAAATGCATCGGCAGAACTAAGAGCTTCATCATTCATCCCTGGGTTCAAGTTCAAGCCAAAACTTTCTGCATTTAGCAGACATGGTATGTCCAGCAAACTGCTTTCTTCAGATTGGTGGCTTGATGCTGTTCCACTTCCTTCCATAGCAACACTGAAGCAAAGAGAAATGGGCATTTATTTCCCTGCAATTTCTAACTCGATTAATCTCTAAAGGGCTTAAGGCAGCCAATATACAGTACTTTCAAAACAAAAGTATAATCATTCAAAAAGCAACAGACAAATTTAGCAGTGTCACTGAACTACAAGCTTTTTTTCTTAAGATGTCAGACTCTACCATGGAGTCAAGTGCATTTGAAGGCATGCTGCATGAACTGAATTGCTTTGGAGAATTTTGGCCTTCTTGCTTTCTCAGCTGGTGGAGTGGATTTCTACTATCTACATACACATCTTCCTTTTTCATGGGATCTGTTTCAACAGTGAGAGTGGCCTGCATGAATGGGGCAGTGGGTTCTGACTGGCAGACAAAAACAATAGGCTTACCTGACAACTGGAGTGGACTGGAGCAGGCTAAATAGGAGGCCCAGTATACCATCTGGTGAGATCCTTGTGTCCAAATGGCACAGAGACCTCAAGTGACCCAATTTGGTCGGCAGCAGCTTACTGTCAGTTTGCCAATATCATGCAGTGGCTTAAGAAGATAGCCACTTCATGATATTAGCAAATTAATTACTTCCTAGGTTCCATGGAGTCACAGAGGAAGGGGGAGGGGGAAACGAAGTGTGTATTGGGCAGCAAATATGTGCTGCATCACTTAAAAAACAAAAACAAAAGACAAATGGAAAGACAAATTTAGGTGCAGCCAGACGCTTGACCAGACTTTTAAGATAAAAGGGAGGGAGAGGGCTTCCAGGAAGACGCTTTCCATTTCTCTGGAAACAGAGGGGTCAGAAAGGTGTAGGTAGAAACGCTCCGGGGATTACTTGGTTCACTCCCGTGATTATGTTGTGTGATCACTAGGAAGCTACTTCCCACAGAAGTCCAAACAGCGGACTTAAATGCCCATCTGATGTCACTTGGCAGGCCTACTTTAGAAGTGTGGGAATTGCTGGTCTGAAAGCAACTGCATCCTGAATATATTCTCAGATTATACACTTCTTTAAGTGACTCTGGTATCGGACATTATACAGAAACAAGCAGACTTCCAACAAAACGGTGCATTCCATTCCTCCTCCCCCCTCATTTTATGCCATGTTCCCAATCAGTCACCATTCCATGGCCACTGAGCACATTCCGTCCTCACTGAAAAGTTTTTGGGGTGTTACCTCTCCTTTTTGTGCATAACTGGTGCTGTTTTGGCTACACGAGAAACTAGAAAAAGAAATTTCAAAGAGATAGATATTTGTAGTCTTTTGTGGCAGAACCAAGAGTGTTCAGTGGCACCTTCACAACTAATAAGTTTTATTTGGAATAAGTTCTTGTGGACTGTATCCCCACTCATTCAGATGACCCCCTTCAGGTTATCCTCTCTCCCAAAGATCAGAAACAGAGACAATCAAGGGGTAGACAAATGCCAACAACATGCAGCCAAGTCACAGAGAAGACTGCAATGGAGTGTACTTTTATGGCCACAATGCTGCTCACATGCAACAAAAATAATTATATATGTAATTAGCTTAGGAAGGAAAAAAGTATTAACTTTGTACAAACTTAATGGATTGCATTCATGTGCAAATCTGAGAAGCAGTCTCAATACTGTCCATTAAGACCCCGTTCTTAGTCATCAACTATGGATGGATGACAAATTTTCTGTGACTGTGGAGAAACTGCAACATTTATATGCATGCAATGTATGCCCCACCGCATGTACAAAAGAAAATGGCTGAAATAACACTACTGAAGTAACATTATTCTTAATGTTTATCTATGTGTTATATAGATCGACAATTTAAAGTTGTGCAACACTTTGCTATGAATAAAGAGTCATAAACTTTTTAAATCACTCATTGTATTTCGTTGCATTATGCCTTTTCTGAACCAACCTTTTCAGAAAATGCTGCTGAACTTGCCCTTTGTCGTATGGCACTGGCTCGTTAATTCCCCAATATCAGCTTTCTGATCAGAGCGAGATCAGCTTACTGATGACCTAGAGAACAGAGGGAAGGTTAAAATTCTCATAAGTATATCCATGGGTGGGGGAGAGGAGAGCATGTTGTTCTCTTAAGAGGATCAACTGGGAGGGGGCCTTTGCTCAGTACAGAGCTCATACTCGAGGAGGTAGTAAAAGTCCCAGGCTCAATTACCAGGGTTTTTTTTCAAATGGGTCTCAAGTACAGCGCCTGAGCAAGCTATTTCTTGGGCAGAACAGCTCCTGTTATTTTCTAGCCAGCTGAGGACTGCTATCATCAAAGAGCAGATAGTGCTGGGCTTGATAAAGCAATGATGCCAACTAATAAATGTTGCTTCATAAGTTATAATATCTAGGTCCAGGACATATTTAAAGGAGTATGAGACAAAACCTGTTTCTTAATCTTAAACTCCAGCCATACTTCAAACCTTCTGCTTAAGTAGAGGTGTACTTTGCCTCACTTCAACTAAATAACACTTTACTGATTATACCAATAAAAGCACTGAATTAATAGCCATCAACAACTGACTGTGCACCTCTCATTCACTTGTCTTTTCTACTGATGCAAAACCACTTCTATCTGTTCAAAGTTAAATGGGCTTTGAATCAGGAGAAACAAAACTAGTGTGGATGGAAAATGGTCATAAAGCTGATCCTGGGTGAATAAAACAGCTGATTTAATGGCAATCTAAACAGGTGTTGACATTTTGGAAAAGGTTCTTGTTTCATTTGCACCAAAGTTGCAAAGACTCTTGTGAAATTTCAGGATCCCTTCTGGGCAACTGCCAAAGGAGAACCAGCTAGCCACATGCTTCAATGCCACCTGTCAGACAAATCCCTTTCTAAGAAATCTGGTCATGCTCTTTGGAATGAAGTAAACAAATTGAGTAAAATGTTTCACATCATGATGACTTAGACAGGATGCAATCTTTCCAAAGCAGGTGCACACTTGAAATCAACATGTGCATTAACTGTTTACCAAATCTAGGACACCAGAAGATCATAATCTCCCAGGATGAATCAGGGATAATTTAAACAAGAAAGTGTAAAGAAGACAAACAGTCCACTAAAGTGGCCTTCCAAACTGCAACCAAGTCAAACAGACTCACGGAAGCTCAGTGTGCCACAGGCCAGATCAGCTGCTAAAACTTCACCTTGAAAAAGTTACCTTTTCAAATGATGACTTCCAGAATCCCACAGCAAGAATGGCAAGGGGCCAACATTCCCTCTAATTTTTTGCCCCTCACGCAGGGTTCCATTGTAACCGGAATGCTGAAAACCATCACTGTGGGTGCACAGAGGAAAAGCCCCCGTGCTGAGGGGGAAGAGCTGCAGGAGCACACCTTAGAGGGAACCTTGCAAGGGACCATGTTATCTGAGGAGTTATGGAAGTTAACATCTAAAATGTAACTTTTCCAAACTCTAATAAATGATCAAAATTTTCTAAACATTTACATATAACTTGTTCTTAAAATCCATAATATGAAAACCCATAATATTATTATATGACTCTGCTACAACAGGAAGTTAATATTTTATTGTTGTTATTTAACAGGACACAAGTCCATTCTGAATGGTTAGTTAGATCAAGATAGAGCAGATGAAACGTCCCAAACTGCTATTACTACTTCTTCTTGTCCCTATGTATCTGTGACATCACAGCTACAAAACATAAACGTTACTAACAGGTACTTGGAGATGACAAATTGTGCTTGTACAGAGTGGAGGGGATTAGCTCTCCAGTGAAGATTCAGATTTAAACATGTCAAATGCTACTGTATCGTACATTTTTGCAGAAATGAAAGCACTGATTAGTACAGTAATAGCACACAATGATTAGGGTGACAGATCAGAATTCAGCATCCTTCCCAGACCCTGGAACAGACATCTTTGTTGCTTGCTTAAGAGACCAAAAACACATGCTAAGGATAGGCCATTTGGGGTTTCTGGACTGCAACTCCAAAGGATTCTCCAAGAATTTCTCTGGTAGAATAACGGGCATTCTTACTAACAGACACCTATACTGTATTTCACTCTGCTGGAACAGGTCCTATCTTCTAGGCTCTCTCAGGTCTACTTCTTGCATAAAAAGGAAACTGCTCTAGGACTTCCTGCAAGGCATGGTTCTTTGGGCTACCCCACATAAGCCTAATGTTTAGACTATAGTGGACCACTGCTGATGTGCCACATCATTTATTAAAACATTCTTTGAAAATTATTTGCCTTGTCAAGGACTGGTCAAGAAATTGGTCACAGCCAAATCCATCACTATCCAGGGGGGTGAAACACTTTTGGGCCTAGTATGGAATGTCTCTGTACCAGTAAGGAGAAAGCACTAAATTAAGAAGCATTCAGTATTTGAAGACCCTCAGGTGCTGGAATGAACCATTATTTAAAAGTAATGTCTCAGGTCTTTGTTTTTGGGTCTATAAGTTTCCACTTCCAAGAAATGTGGGCAATGATTCGCTCAAGGGTGGCTTCCTTGTATCAGCTGTCTGTTTCCACTCCTAATGTGGGCCATGATTCCTCAAGGGTGGCTTCCTTGTATCAGCTGTCCAATGACACAAGGTGGAAGATATTTAACAGCACAATTGTCTTGCTGAAGCCTGCTTGCTCTTTGGCTCCTTGGCCACCCAGTTGCTTCCGCCCCATCTAGCATGCCACCCAAGCACAAAGGAGAAACTGCCCACAGTCAAATCCACAAATTCAGTGGCAGATAGTTTCTCAACTGGCCCTAAAAATTATTTTCACTTCCCCTGCCCTTCTGCTGAGGCACAGAGGAAGTGGTCAATCTGCTGATATCCTGAAGTGGTTTTTATTAAGCCACTTCATAATATTGGAAATACAAACCAGAAGAAGCCTGCCAAACAGGTATGTTAGTTTTCAAAACTGTCACAATACTGCTTTCACTTTTGCTCTGGAACAAACAGAATTACTATTTTTGAATATGAACAGGGCCATGACACAGTCTTTATCCTGCTTTTGTTGCTACACGCTGGACCTTTTCTGTGGTATCCACATAGTTT